GCTGCTGCTGCTGCTGCTGCTGCTGCTGCTGTTCGCTTAATTGCTTGCTTGCTTGCTTGGCTTTGTTTTTGCTGCTCGTGATAGAATCAAATCGTTGATAATACGAATCGTGAATGTACGTGTGCGCGCGCGTGATCAAATCGCTGCGCATGCACTCAACTCTGATGCTGCTGCTGGGTGGCGAATATATTCAAGAATTGAAGCCGCGTCGCGCCTTCTGATGCTGCAGCATCACCAGCGAACAATTTGAATCGAGGTGTCGATGCACGATGCAGAAATTTGCGGGCGTCGCTGCACCGATGCACCCGCGACTTGCAGCACCCGTTGCGCCTTGATTCGTGATTTGCGCCCAGGCGCGACGCGACTTTCAAGATGGGCGAGCTGACAGGCGCGCGCGCGCTGTTGCCCAGACTCAACAGGATCGATCGCTTTGCATCTTGCCGAGCCACGTGATACGAAAGCGAGCGGGAATAACACGCTTGCCCAATAGGCACACCCACACACATCCACCCACACACATCAAGCCAAGCGTCACGCGTGCGGTACTCACAGCTGAGAGCATAACTTCAATGTGAATCAAAATCATGAATCTGCTTAGTAATCAGAAATACCCTACTGTACGGTGTATATGAACAACGTGGCCGAAGCCCTCCAGAAGACGCGAATAGCGACCACAGAAGGTTGGAAGCGTACGGTCATTGACGCCCCTACCGCTCAAGCGTCCAAGATCCGACTCGATAACACGCAGAGGACAAGTTGCGCAAGACTTCCATTGACGAGCTTGCTTCGGGTGCAGAAGATCGCGAATTCGGACATCTCGAAATCACCTCGAGCAACTTGTGAAGTTGCTTTCAAATATGTTGTCAAGGACCGGACTATTGCAAGCAGGATGTTTGCTGAGGGCGGCTTCCTGGCGGACAAGCGCCTGCCTTCCTGATGCTTGGCCCAAGCATGCAGGCCAAAAGCGCGCACAAACGACCACTTCCTCATCGCCATTTCACGACGATGTGCACGCAAATGGCATTTTCTACCACGCGCTGACCTCCTCGGGCGATCGATATGCACTGAGCTACTCCTCCAAGGTGCCGAGCTCCGCCGAACAACCTTCTGTACTAGGCATCCTCTCCCTGCCATCCTCGGCACAAATCACAGCCCAAGATGGATCGCGTTTGGCTCCTTCCCAACTAGCCCAATCACATGCCGAAGACTTTGTCACCAATCCCAACTTTCACAGCTTTTTGCATAGCGTCCTCAAGCTCGCCGCACTGGACGACGGCATGATTCAATACGAAGCGTTCCTGCGCAAGAGCGGCTTTGCGCACGTGGCAGGTGGGTCGAATGCGCTTCGTCTGATCCTGCTTTAGAGTGCAGCGCCCCAATACCTGTATGCTGATATTCCACTCTCTCCCCATCCTTGCATCTCATCTCGACGTAGATCAAAGAGAACAGCTAATGCCAGGTCGCATTCCGTACCCCGAAAACATCCTCGCTTCCATAGGTTTCGACAATCAAGAGTTGGTTGGGGAGACATACTCGCCCAACGAGGTGCACAGGATCATCACGAAGGAGTTGGGCGTCATGGTTCTCAGACCTGCGTGGCACGCCAGATTGATGGAGGAGCTGGACAAAGCTTGAGCCATCCCGTTGCGCGAGCACGATGCAAGCGTGTGCGCCACCTCAACACAAAGCGTTGCCCGACGGGCCGCTCCAGCGACCGAGTGTCGCTTACGTGTAGTTAATGGTGCAATCGTCGCCACTACTCCGATTCAAACGCCAGTGGGCCTATCGCACGCGAAAGTCTTATGAAGTGTCTTTAGAAAGAGCGAGCGTGACCTTGAGAGCGTACGGCCTCACGCAGATCTCAGGCAAACGAGCAAAGGTGAACTTTCAAAGTCGCGAGTAGTCTCACGATCAGTATTTGGATCTCCGAACTTTATAATTGCGCAAAGCTGCTTGGAATCAGCTCAACGCATCGTGACGAGCTCTGAATGTAATGAAAGATGGGGTATGTGAGCGCTCCAAATTAGGGTTTTGCGAACCCTCGCGACGGCTCACCTTCGGCGGAAGTAGGGTGGATAGCGACAGTGTTGTCAAAGTCGGCTTTCGTAGCTGTGTGAACAAGTGTGTCGGGTCAGTGAGGCACGGCACAGCGATGCAGGGCAAGTTGCAAGCCGGAAATGTGGTCGCGCACCTCCCATCTTGACAGCGATGCCCACGCCCTGCATGATCTCGTCGCTCCCCAGGCCAATGATGTGAACCCCAACGACCTTCTCCTCCTTGCCAGCGCAAACGAGCTTGTAAGCCGTAGGCTGCTTGTGTTCCAGCATGCCAAAGTACATGGCCGTGAACCTGCTCGTATAAATTTTGATGTTTTCCTCGCCAAACTTTTCCTTTGCTTCCGGCTCCGTCAGACCGACGGTACCGCTGGTGGGATGACTAAAGACGACGGTTGGAATATTGTTGTAGTCCAGGCGATCGTTTGCGAATTGCGGTCCGCCGTACAGTCGGTTGGACAGCCTTCTTCCAGCTGCGATAGCTACGGGCGTCAACAGCGCCTTGCCAGCTACGTCGCCGAGTGCGTGAATAGAAGGCACGTTGGTGTTCTGATAATCGTCCACCGCTATGTTTCCCTTGTCGTCCGTCTTCACGCCTGCACTTTCGAGGCCCAAATTGTCGGTGTTGGGTCTGCGACCAATAGCCCAGAGAAGGGTGTCGACTTCGAGCGTCTTTCCAGTGTCCAGATGCAACGTCAAAGGACCTCCTTCTTTTCCTTCCACCTTTTTGATGTTAGTCTTTTGATGAACGTTCAATCCCGTCTTGCTCATGTGGTCTTGAAGCGTTTCGGCGATGATGGGGTCAAAGTTCCTCAAGAATGTGTCGTGC